TTTGTGTGTGTGCAGCAGATGATGAATCCTCCTGCCTCATTCAACAGGAATAATGAAATAGAAATGCCTCTGAGAGGAAGTGTCCAGAGGGAGGAATACAAGTAATGCCATCAACATGTTTAGACGAAATGAAGTCAATGAAGTCATTTCCTCCCCCTGACTTCCTCTATCCCATGCATAATGTATCTTAATCTGATCTGAAGGCTTCACTCTTAATGTTCCTTCAACCATAGATGAAGCCTCTGAGTGTGACATTTAGCTGGAATTAAAGTTTTAACATGACAGCTGGCTCAGGGAATCCGTGGCTCAGCTCCTCTTTGGGCGGCAAAGCAGCTAAAGAGGGTATGGAGAGAATAAAGAGAGCTAGAGAGGATGAAAAGAGGTGAAACGGAAAGGAACGGTGAGGAAGGAAGCGAGGATGTGAGAAAGACGGAGGAATTTGTTTGTTATAAAAGAGAGTGTGAAAAAGGGACAGCAGCTTTTTCTCCATGACTGATGCTGTGGGCATCTTATCTCATGCCACAGCTCCCAGCCGGTACACACTTCTGCATGTTTGCTCAGGGCCGGCTGGTGTTTGCTTGGTTTATCAGGCCTGCCGGGCTCAGGTCCTCTGGTTTTTCACTGTATTCACTGAAACACTGTCACTGCTGCAGCACAACGCAGCTAATTTCAGCTTGAAATGCAAATGTTCAGCTAGAATGGTTATCTCTTCATAGCAAAAAAAGGATGGCCTCAACTAAATATATTACTTTGAAGAAAACTAGCATTAATTCACACACCTGCAGTGAGTTTTATACAAACACATATTAAGTTAGATGAATGGAGAAGGTTTACACACTGAATTTACTCACTTACTTACTCGCACTGGGGAGGCTCTGCTTATCTGCTCAGTGGGGGAGTGAAGGCATTTACAGTGTGTGTGTGTGTGTGTGTGTGTGTGTGTGTGTGTGTGTGTGTGTGTGTGTGTGTGTGTGTGTGTGTGTGTGTGTGTGTGTGTGTGTGTGTGTGTGTGTGTGTGTGTGTGTGTGTGTGTGTGTGTGTGTGTGTGTGTGCGTGTGTGTCTTCTTGCTTAAGGAGTGCTTCTAAATGTGGACTATAGGCAGGGGTGCACATAACTTTTTTGCCCTGGTTCTCAAAGGAGCACCTGGAGATATTGCTTGGTGCTCATCCTTAAAATGAAATAAACCGTAACTTTTGAGGGGGTCATTATTTGCCAGACACACGGCACTGAACACACATGCAGAGGTGAACACAGAACACACATGCAGAGGTGAACACAGAACACACATGCAGAGGTGAACACAGAACACACATGCAGAGGTGAACACAAGACAACATTAGCACGACCAGTAATCCTACAAGCTGTCATCACTACCCTCCTGACTGTTCTCCTCACTGTCTTCCTCTCTGTCAGACATGGTAGCTGATGATGTAGGCCTACTTCTTTCTCTCTGGTTGAGTCTGTGATTAGCTGCTTGCATCCACAAGTCAACAGCTGGGTTTGGGTCGAAAGTCTCTGTTGTCATCTTAGACAGTGGATGTAATCAAAAAGTATGTGAACATAACCAATAACCTATAGCCAATAACAAATGAATGTAACTTATTTTATTTATGTTGTTCATTCATATCTTATTTTACCTTATAATTTTTTTTTTTATCTCTCCAGTTTTAAAGGATATTTTTTGGTTACTGTCCATAGTATACATTGGAATGATTTCAAACCTGTTTATCCCAATAATTATAAAGGAGTGCCTTGGAAATATGTGTTTACATAAATTGTGACCAAATCGTTTGAACTTAGACTAAAGTTAACTATCTAAACACTCAAGATTACTTTACCTCACTGAGCTGTATTATCAGCCTCTCAGTCTGACTGGAGAGGACTCTCTCTCCACATTATTCTAGAAACATCTTCTTCTTATATCCGTTAAAGCAGCTAGCACCAGATTCTAATAACAGCGCCGGTACCGGTGCACCCTCCCTCTCTCCCTCACTCACTCGCATTTTGGCTGTGAGCTGCGGTTGCCAGATAAGTCAACATCCCCCATTTTCATCACTTACAGCGCCCATCGTACAGGGCAAATGAAACGTGTAACCGGGGTGAAAAGGGTGTACATTTACTTAATTGTGAATATCGTTACATCAAGGCCGAAAATTAGGATGAGCACCAACGGTCAAAAAAATGTTTTTCCCTCCCAAAACTGCCAGCGCAGCGCCTCCACAGATCTGGCGCCCTAGGCGAACATCTATTACGCCAGTGCTACGGGCCGGCCCTGAGTTCATATGCAACTCGCAAATATATTTCTCTCTTCTCTCTCCTCTCTTCTCTCTTCTCTCTCCTCTCTCCTCTCTTCTCCCTCTCCCTCTCCCTCTCAATGTTGGTGCGCAAATGCCCCTTTTTTCAAATGACCCGGTGCTCTTTTTTTTAGCGGAGGTGCGCATGCGCACCTGCGCACCAGTTATGTGCAGCCCTGACTATAGGGCTCTCCAGTTAATTGGCTCTCATGTCTGTGGCGGCCAGCGGACCAGTACTCCCAGTAGATTTGGCCTCCTATTGTGCCCCAGGCTCTCAGCACAAACTGACAGCCATGTTATCTCAGGCGGTCCTATCAGTAGATTGTTTCCTATAGGTAATCCATGTATTCAAACTAGCATATTTCCCTCGTGTGCTATTTGGTGTTCTCTTGTATGTGAGTGTGTTAGCTTAAAGGGAGCCTTTCTAATGTTGAAATAAAGACACTTTGCTTCCATAAATTAAAAGTTAAGTTCTTAATAATAAAAAAACACTACTCAATTCATTACCCATGTTCTGTTCTGGTACGAGCAGTAGATCTTGGTGGCTTAAGTTGTCTGACTATTTTAATCCTCTCTGCTTGTGCTGCTGTTACACTGTGTTTTGGCATGAACAGTTGTTCTGTAACTTCTCGCTTTTTTCAATCCAGTAAAGGATCCTCCAAAGTCTGCATTTCTGAAATGAATATTTGAAGAAGGAATGACAATGATCTTGCAAATTCGACCAAGAATAAATCTTCTTTTCCAAAAATGCCTGTCAGTATTCAGTAATCTACTGTGTGCCGGTCAGTTGCTTAATGGTGCATTCATGCAATCCTCGTCGACTCGTAAATGCTGGAAATATTATTGGTCACTGGTGATACATCATTTGAAGTAGACCAATGAAAACGCCACTGCAGAAAGTGAATAATGGAGGTCAGACATAAACTCTACTGTGTGTTCCTGTTAGCTGCCTGGACATGTTGTGAATCACTGAAAATTACAGATAAATGGAGGCCGGGTCAGGTTTATTTAAGCAGGTCATTGGCCATGGCTGTGTGTCTGGTAGACTATTTTACTCTCTATAATGGCATCATGCCAAGACCAAAACATTGGAGTCACATTTCTTCTCATGTCGGCAATAAATAGTTTTTTTTGTGTCTAAAGATTGAGGCAGTGCGGGAACTTAATGTTTCTACCATAAACATGCTACACTATTCACATATAATGGGAATCTAAAGTTTGCGCCGGTGGTAGGACATTTTACTGGTG